GGAACGTTCAGGCTGGGAGTTAGTTCCTGCCCGGCGGAGTATCAGTGTTGCACACTGAGTGGGTCTGGCGGTTGTGTATAGGGAAGAAGCGGCAGCATGGCAACCATGGCGGTAAGATGCACACAGAGGCCGGGGGATGAGCAGGGGCCCGGGACGGTGCTGTGTGGAGGGGAATAGGTCGCATATATGGAGGGAACATATCATGGTGGGAGGACAGTGCGGTGTTTCCAGGCTAGCTGACTGTGTGCCCATGAATGAAGTCCGGCCATGGCGTCCTCCTCAGTGCATGGTGATCACACACAGCTCAAGGGCCGGACTCGGCTTTTCGGGGAATAGACTGGAATCCAGGGACTCGTATCTATGTATATATTTAGGACCATTCCATTAGTAACCAGACTGGGAGGTGAAATAACAGATGAAGCTCATTTGGTTGCTAGGGGTAACGGCTTGTTCCATTAGTGATCTGGTATGGGTGAATGTTTTGTGCTGATCTCATCACATGGCTTCCAGTCTCCCTAGGGCCCATTCACACCCGCGGGTCTAGCTTCTGTGGTTGTTTTTGGGCAGTGAACCTTACGCATTTTTTACCTGGCCTTCTGCTATGATGAGGTGCATCTACTAGCTGCGTTTGGGGTGTTTTTAAGGAATCGGTGTGATTCACATTTTGACACGTGTCCAGGAATGCACTGGGGTGAATGTGGCGCTCTGTGTGCAACAAACGCAGCAAAGTACTTCCTGCACTTCTTTGGGTGGTGAGCCTTGCTTTTTTTTTTTAGTACTGGGCTGTTTTGGGGTGCCATTAAGATTTAAGGATTAGCAGGGGTGTGGAAATTTTTGAAAAAACAACTTGTCCAGGGACTAACTTGGGATCCCAATTTACTTGTCCTGATCAAACAAACATTTTTTGTAACCAAAACCATTTATAAATTTTGAGGTGTTTTTAGGAATCTCTGGGACTTTTTTAAAAAAAAAAAAAAGGGTCTTTATGTCTGCAGCACCGCACCCGGGGACTAGCAGGGAGGGGAGAGACTTTGCAGTGTAATGAGCACCGATTGGGTGTTCCTCAGGAAAGGGGAGTGTCCTGCTTATCCTTTATTCCTGTCCCTGCCAGAGCCCCTTTTGCGTTTTTGCACACGTTTAAAAAAACATTTTAGGCCTGAAGATTACATAAAACCTCCAAAATGTTCATATTTTCTGAAAGCACACACCCTGGAGAATGTAATAGTGGTACTTCCAATATTTTATGTCTCATGATAGTACCGCAAAATTTCAGTAAAAAATACACTTAAGTTAGTTTTAGGGCACCAAAAAGCAATAAATTACCCATTTTTTTTGTAAAATATAAAAGATGAGGTTACACCAAGTAAACAGATGTGTCAAACCTTACATTTGCGTGTGTCTGTGAAATGGTAACAAACTTTAGTACCCTATATTTTCTATAGGTGATGCTTTTAATGCCCTTATAGGTCACCAGTATAGTGTTACGGAGGTGGTCTGGTACTAGAATCATTGCTCTCATTCTGGTCTGCGATATGTAACCTGTATTGCAATCCGCGTTTTCATTATAGGGTCCTGGCGTTTGCTTTTAAATTTGTTCATGTGCATATGTGGGGGGGTTCTCAAGTGCTTGGGGGGGGGGGGGGGTTGTGTGCTTGGGTTTCACTTTAATTTTGTATAGTTGAAGAAAATTTTTTTTCATGACATGGGGACAAAAAGTCCCCTGTGTGATGATTTTTGGTTACAGGTTCTCTTTATTAACCATTTCCTGTCCGGACCCTTTTACCCCCTTCCTGTCCAGGGCAATTTTCAGCTTTCAGCGCTATCACACGTTGACAATTGCGCGGTCATGCAATACTGTACCCATATGAATTTTTTACCATTTTTTGAGACAGATAAAACTGGGATTTTTATTTTTTTTGCTATGTAAATGAAAGTCCAAAAATTTGGAAAAAAATTGTTTTTCTTATAAAATTTTGCAAATAAATTATTTTTCATCATAAATCTTGGCCAAAATGTATTCCGTTATATTTTTAGTAAAAACAAAAATTAGCCAAATTAGTTTATAGCAAAAAATTATAATTTTTAAACTTTTTTTTTTTTTTTTTTTTTACAGTGATTGCTTTTACACCCATATAGGATGTAAAAGCAATAATTTATCTTTCTCTCTGTCTGCATTCTTGCAGCCATTGAGAAATACTGAGTGAGCTGTGATTGGTCACAGCTTGTCACATGGTACAAGGCTGTTGTGAATAGCCTTGTACCATGTGACCTCTGTGATCATTCACAGATTTCACACGTAGTAAGCAATGATGTCAGAAGTGACATCTTGCTTACTTTGCGCGTGACTTTGCGCGTGATCACTGATTGGCCAATCAGTGATCACATGATCGGGACCTCGTACAGAGGTCCCATCTGATGATCGGTGTTTCACACTGTGTCTGGAGGACACAGCGGGCACCGGATCACGGTGCTGCGCGCTCCTGGGGAGCGCGCACAGCTGGAAATGGTGGGTGCCGTTTATGAACGGCAACCTGCCCCTGGAGTGCCACCGTCCTGCCATTTATAAACAGTAGGCGGACGGCAAGTGGTTAAGACATGGCGGGTCTGGATGTCTCCCCTGTACTCCACTGGATGCACATCACACTGTATTACATTCTTTCCCGGCCTCGATGGCTGGGAAGTGTCAACAGGGCTCGGAAGTGACGTCATAGCGTCACTTCTGTGTCAGGACAAGAAGGTGAAGGGAGCTGACGTGTCCACTGTCCTCTCCCCTTTACCCAGCGACATAGCGGGCAGGGAGGACCTTCACACGGGGGGGGGGGGGAGAGATGGGGTGGGATCTGTCACTGTAGTGGGCTATGTGGAAGCAATCGGGCAGCAGCGCTGCCGCCTGAATGCTTCTGCCTGACAGGTGAGCCCTGCTGCTTGCCCGCAGCAGGGCTAAAGTTTTTGAAAACACTACATGCCCGGCATCGGGAACTACATGTTTTGGGTGTTGGGTGATATAAATTGAACATCCTTGATTAAGGTGTCTGGGAATGTGCAGTTGTGAATGGGGTCTTAGATCTGCCATCAACTACTGCATGTGCAAGGGCCTGTCTGATTGGATAGATTAGGTAGGTCCCCACATTACATCATTTTGTTAAATCTAAAGTTGATTGCATAGTAACTGTACTGGCAGATTGTAATGTGTGACCCTTATGTAGGCATGGGTTGAATTCTGAACTGAGTTTTCCTTCACAAATTTAAATTTTAGTACATAATTTGATGGTGCCACCATTGATTTCAAACTTTGACCAACCAAGTCTTCAGTTCACCTCATGTTGCTACAGCAAATCATTTTTGTGGCTGGGAATCTTCTTTTCTTTCCAGGTCACAGCTCATTCTCCTTTCTTTTTCAATATTTCCCACACTATTCTCCTATCATTGATTAGAAATTTTACTTGTTTTTCAAAAAAATTTCCTACTTGCGAGATCACTCAAATTCAATGGCTGCATGAAAATCGGCTGATGCTGTGGCCCACTAATGGTGAAACATTTGAACAAAAATTCTTAGTTTACTCGTTTCAAAAGAAAATTCTTTTGGAATTCAATCCATGTGTGGCCTGCATAGATTTACCAAAGCTATATAAAATGAGGAGCTTAATTCTGTGATCAGGAATCTTGTACTACATAGTAGTCTGTAGATCTAAAGCACAGGTGTCAAACTAGTGGCCCTCCAGCTGTTCCCAAACTACAAGTCCCATGAGGCATTGCAAGGCTGACAGTTACAAGCATGACTCCTAAAGGCAGAGGCATGATGGAACTAGTTTCGCAACAACTGGAAGGCCGACAGTTTGACACCCCTGATCTAAAGGATTTTGTGTGATGAGCTGATGGTGCACTTAGGACAGTCTCACCCTTGGTTCACAGTGATGCAGTTCTGATCCGTTCCAGAACGCATATCTTCACATGTCAAGGGAGATAACATGGCTTTCTGTGGAGGTCGTTCACACCTATGTGTTCCAAACGCAATGCATTTTCCAAAACTGTGTGTTTGGCACAATGCCATAGACGTGAATGTAAAACAGCCTTGAAAATTCATAGGTGTTCGGGTGCAATGCAATTTCAGTGCAAAATACACCTATTTCTAATGTCACAAAATGTCAGGACAGAAATCGCAGCTCTGTAAAATTGCTGCAAAACTGTACTGTAACTGCACCTGAAATTGCACTTGAAAACACATAGAAACCACGCCGTATCTGTGTGAACCAGGGCTTATAGTGATCTGCTCTGGTTTGGCCACAGTGCAGTGTACCCACAGTTTTTGTGTGGCATATCTGCACTTTCTTATAGACTTCTATTTGTTTGGGTAGTTTTGGTGTATTTTCTTAAAGCGCACCAGAAGTCCTGCGGACATATGTGTATAGCTGCCAACATTTTAACCTCCTCCTGCCCACCATATAAGGCAATGACGGGCGCAAGGCGGTTCTCTTGTTCTTGGAGGACGTTATATGACGTCCTCCCACTGTAACCGCGTGGCTCTGGGAGCGCACAGCAATCGGTGGTGTGCTGTGTCCTGCACAAAAAATGCTGCTCCATTTGCTATTACCTGCAAAAACAGTGCATTCATTATTTTTTTGTCAAAAGGTGAGCTTATCCTTTACCTTTTTTACTCTGTCCAGAACTATTAAAAAAAATTGGCTATGCACAGTTTTTAGAATTGTGCATATTAACTGGGGGTAAGTGATATTGTTGCCCTCAGCAACCACCAGATACCATTTTAATGGATTGGCTTACAAGATGATCTCATTGGTTTCTAAGGGTTTCACAGGCCCTTTCATTTCCTTCAGAGTTTGTATCAAGCTCAGAGTATTTTTATACCTTTCAGTCACAATATTAATATTTGTAACATTGTGTCTGTAATATTCGTCCTTAAAGAAAAAAAAGTTTACAGGCAGCTTTATTTTTGTGTGTGGCTTAAATTCTTATTTTATTTTTGTTTGGTGTTTTTCTTCTAGACAACCAAGGTGCCGGAAGTAAGAGATGTCACGAGAATTGAGAGAATTGGTAAACATTCCAAATTTGTTTATAATGTGTGTTCTGTTATTGAAATCATGATTTTTTTTTTTTTACCACTAGAGCAATTACTTTTAATTGAAATTCCCCTTGCATTTGAATGTAGTCATGGAACTTTAGGATAGCTCCTTGGAGAGTTTGTGTTAAGCTTTTGTAGTTCTTGATAATGTCCTTTTGTTAGAGTTGAATGGTTTCCACAGAAACTAACAAACAGTAAACGGCTTCTCTAGTACAGGCAGGATCAGGAAGTTGCATTTAGTTTACACTAGGCCAGTATAATGGTACAAATGCCACATATCAATTAATTTCTATTTTAGATAAAATATGTAAGTGTTGTAATGCACTCTGTATTTGGTGATCAGGTCTGTCTGAAATATGGGCTTTTATTCATAATTATGAAGCACAAGGGTAAAGTTCAGTGTACATGAACAGTCACCATAACACAGTGGTTGAAAATATGTTGGAGGAATTTGCAATACAGCAGTAAAAAAGTTGAGGCTTTATTTTAGGAACACAAAGGTTATATGTAAACCGAGTCATAAAGATTAAAGACTAAATTCACCTTTAAAAAAAGGGGAAAATTTAAAATTTTTGTACGAACTTGCAAAGTTTGTGCATCCGCAATCAGTAGATTGTAAGTGCAATGCCAGGCTCCTGTAGACTGCTCTTCCAGCTCTCTGCACACTCAGGCTTTCAGAGTGCCAGTAGACAATGAGTGGGCTGATTACCATAGTATTTTATTGAGAACTACATGTCTGTCTGCCTTGATGTCAGACTGACATATAGTTTATTCATTTATGGAACTCGGTGAATGAAAGATGCGGCTGTACTGGTGGAGCACCACACAGCCATGCCAATTTTAAAGGTGACCGTGGCTGCAGGTAGAAGAACCCCCACATGCTATTGTGGAGAAAGGGGGTTTCATTTGCATCATGTTACACCCTAGGTGTAACATGCAAAAGATAAAGTAAACCTTTAAATGTGTGCCAATTCATGCTGAAATTTGAGCTGTGGTGCAGCAAAAGTGAATTGAAAAATTAAAGGAACTGGGTGGCAAGTTAATGGCCAAATAGTTACTGCCCACTATCAAATAGTCATTGTTCAGGTATTCAGACAGCTGTGGGTGCTGACTGTCAGAACATACTTGACAGGGGCGATATGTCCATCTGTGCTTTTTACTGTGGATGGGGACATCAAATTATTTGAATGAGAGATGTGTAAACATGGAATGGATAGCTTTTGCATGTTGGTCTTGAGGTAGGATGATAATTTCTTTTTTTTTTTCACTTTTACCAGCCATATATACTGGCTTGCATTTAGTGTACATCAAGCAAATGATTCACTTTTAGTACTTGTTTTAAACCCCTTGAAGACCAAGCCTTTTCTGGGACTTTGTTTACATGTAAGAATCAGTAAATTTTGCTAGAAAATTTCTTAGAACCCCCGAACATTGTATATTATTATTATTTATATATATATATTTTTTTTTTTTTAAAAGCAGAGGCCCTAGAGAATAAAATGGCGGTTTGAAAAATGCTGTGCAAATACCGTGTGACATAAAAATTGCAAACACAATTTTTTAGGGGAAAACACTTTATTGAATTTTAATGCAAAAACACAATACATAACCCAATTTTTTGGTAAGGTATAAAAAATATCACGTGGAGTAAACTGATACCAAGCATGTCACGCTTTAAAATTGTGTGCGCCCATGCAATGGCAACAGACCATACATTTTACTATCCTTAGGCGATGCTTTAAAAGTCTTTGCAGGTTACCACTTAAGATTTACAGAGAAGGTCTGGTGCGGGAATTTTTTCCAATGATTTGATATTCACATTGATACCTCAGATGTGTGGGATGATTACTGTTTGTGTGCGTGCGGGACCTACACATGCGTTCGTCTTTGCGCGGAAGCAATTAATAATAAATCATTTTTACGCTGCTGCTTTAAAAAAAAAAATTTGATCACTTTTATTACTATCACAAAAAATGAAAACCTCCCTTGTGACAGCAATAAACACTTGACAATTACTGTTTATGGAGAGATCTAGGGTCAATAAGACCGCAATGCCCTCCTCTACTCTTAAAAGCATTTAATCATACCAAGATCGGTTTGATCAAATGCTTTTCTTTTTTGAAAATGGCATTGTTTATTTCTGAGTAAACTGGAAGTGATGTAAGGTCATCGCTTCTGGGTTACTATATCATAGTAGAACAAAGCCGATGCGGTCTCTGCTCAGCTCTGTGGCCAGCTAGCGGGAGCACCAGCTGGTCGATTGATACGTCCTCTCCCGCTTGTAATAGCAATTAGCAAATAGCAATAGTAATCGCAATTGAGTGGCTAGTTAGCTAGCTGCTCCATTAGTTATTACAAGAGAGCTGACCGTCTGCTCTAAAAAATGGTTCCAGGGTGATAGCTGCAGGCATCATCCCAGTGTAATCACTTGCAGTCCAGTGATATACCAGGTACATGACTGTTCAGTAAGTGGTTTTAATGAAGGCAATGTTCACAAAGTTTAAGGTAACTAGTATTTTTCATTGAAGTTAAACCTTGCCTGTGAGCTGCTCTGCATTTTGGACATGGCATGTGTGATCCAAATAGTACAAGTATGAAGTACGAGATTGATCCTTATGGTTGAACATGTACTAGCATTCAGCCAAGTGTTTGCAACAAGCTGTCTAACTGTGCTTACAGTCTACAGTGTCAACAGTGCCTGTCTGTGTTCACGTTGAAGTTCTAAATTGTGGACCTGAATGTGCATCCCCCATGTGGAAAATGCTTACTTCTGACAGCTGGAGGTTCATCCTTGCAACATGAGGCTTGTATTTAATACAGTTGTAGGGACCCCAGGACACATAGATTTTAACATGTAAGAAAGTACATATTGGCTCCTGGAGGAGCTTGTAATTGGGTTTATAATGGCACGCTTGTGGTTTTCTTTTTAGTAGCAGGTTCTTTTTAAGGTTACATCTGAGCTAAAACATTTCTCTTTCATTAGGAGCTCATTCTCATATCAGAGGTCTTGGACTGGATGATGCACTGGAACCCCGACCGGTAATTCTATACCAAATGCTTAGTAAATGGCTTATTATATATGACCGTTAAAATAGATACTGATTATAGACTTGTTCTTTAGCCACTTGCCCTCCAGAGGGTTTGCCCCATCCCCCCCCCCCCCCCCCTTTCCCTGCTGACCAGGCCTTTTTTTTGTTGTTTTGCGATACAAGTGGAGCTCTTTTTCAGTGGTATTTGATTGCCTTTGCGGGTTTTTCTATTTTTTTGTGTTATAAACAAAAAAAAAAAAAAGACAATTTTGAAAATATTTTTGACTTTTTGCTATAAAACATGTCCAGTGCAAAAATTATAAAACTCTAATTTTGTCATAAATTTAGGCCAAAATGTTTTCTGTTACATGTCTTTGCTACAAAAAAAAAAAAAAAATCCCAATACATGTAAATTTATAGGTTTACGTGAAAGTTATAGCCTCTACAAATGGCGGGGTGTATATATGTATGTGTGTGTGTATATGTGTGTGTGTGTATATGTGTGTGTGTGTGTGTGTATATATATATGTGTGTGTGTGTATATATATATGTGTATATATGTGTATATCTATCACATCTCCTGGAATATTTTTTTTGGAATTTTTTTTTTGTTTTTATATAAATACTAGTAATGACGGTGATCAGCTACTTATAGCAGGACTACGGCAGGCATTCTGACACTGGGGGGGTAACTAACTGCCACTAATACAGTGATCAGTGCTAATAAAAAGCACTGCCACTGGGCAGGAGGGGGTTAACATCTGGTGCACTCAAAGGGTTAACTGTATGCTGTTTTTACTATTTTGTCTGTGTGTGCTTTACTGTGTAAGCATGCTGCTTTGTATTGCTGTGCTATGCAGAGCAAAACAAAGCAGTGTGCTGGTGCTGACGGGAGAGATCGGTATTGTTTACATACAAACCTCTCATCTGTCAGTGTTCCTCGGCGATCACCAGGTGCCGGCGGGGAATCTCCGGCCGGGACCTGGTGACCGACAGCTGGAGCCGAGAATGGCGGTGTGCACCCCCCTGCCCGGAAATACAAAATTATATATATATAAATTATATATATATATATATGTATGTATATGTGATTTTTGCACAGCCCTGCTAGCCTGTAGCAGTAGTTCTACTATAGGGCAGTTTGGAAGCGGTTATAAGGGAATGTATCATCTTTTACATGTTTAACACAGTGAAGCTGTTTACTGAGAATTGGAGCATCAAATTATTTGAATGAGAGACAACCATAGTCTATAGATTTTGCTATTCTGGAAGCATTGAGTCTATTATATCTCGACCCTGTGGAAAAAGGGATCGTTAAGTATAAGCATTTGTGGGGTAAACCTTTTAAGCTCACTTCAAAGTAAAACTTTAAGTGGAAGTCTTTGCTGAACTCATTCTAAAATGCAGCAGTTTGCCTTACTGCTGTCCTGAGCCTCTGGCTTTCATTGAGTGGGAGCAAGTACACAAATCAGGAAATCTGAAATGAACAAACTGTACGTTTTTTTTACTTGTATGCTTGCTTTGGTTTAGGGATAGGAAATATTAAAGTGAGGCAGAGAGGTAACTAGCATTTGCAATATAATCTTGTGTTTCTCTCAAAAAGAGCCATATTTAACGTCTACTGTAGAGTCACAACAATTTGCACTAGCCAAACATACAAAAGGAAATGCTTGGATGGGTTAATTCTAATTTGTGGCTTCCACATTTTATGGGTCGTTCACACCATATGCACTGAGCAGCCTTGCCCAACATAGGGGTTGATTTTTACTAAAGGCAAATATGCAAGTGTAGTTGCTCCAGAGCGTAGTAATTGGAGTAAAGCTTTGCTTGGCAAAGAATACCCAATCACACCGAAGGGAAAAAAAAACAGCATTTTGCTCTCACATGATTGGATGATGGAAGTCATCAGAGCTTCTGCTCATTTACTGAGCTCTAGAGCAACTGCACTTACAAATTTTAGTCTGTTGCCTTTAGTAAATCAACCCTATAGTCTCAATGCATAGACAAGGCAATTTGCTTTATGTCCTATAAATTCAATTTGCAGTGCACTGCAGATCATAAGGATGAATGAATCTCATTTTGTGACAGTTGTGATAAAGTTACTAAAAAAGAAAAGGGTAAATCGTGCGCACTTCACCTTCTCCGTGCACACCAGCGGCTGCACAGTTATGGATGTTGTGAATGGACTCTTTATTTATTTTTTTTATAGCATTGATTTACATAGATTCTCTATAGTAAACTAAACAACTAATACACATTAAACAAAGATAAAATAAAAGCCTATGTGCACAATTTTAGCTTAGTTTTTATGTTTATTCTATAGCAGAATGTGGTTCATAAGAAGCTCATTGTCTCTGCAGGTATCACAAGGCATGGTGGGACAGCTGGCAGCTCGGAGAGCCGCTGGTGTTATTCTGGAGATGATCAAAGAAGGGAAAATAGCAGGAAGAGCAGTGTTAATAGCTGGACAACCTGGCACAGGAAAAACTGCCATTGCTATGGGTATTACAATTATTCATCAAATGTTTTCTGAATTAAATTTCACCTGATTGTTGGGTTGCATGAGATGATTTCTGTTTACAGCATTTTGTTTCAAAAGTACACCTGCAATTTTAGTATTGAAGACAATTTTTGTGGAGGAAGTTGCTGTCCTTGTAGGTACTGGAAGCTGTTCTGTATTCAGAAAGTGTCATTAATGAATTTTGTAGCCCTTTAAATCTTGAAAGAGTTATATGCATCATGGTGGAAATAAGAAGCTAGGGTGTTGGGAGCATTGTACCCTATCACCTTAAACTGGCCATAAAAAGGATGGAAAGTTACATATAACTTCTTTTGGTACAGTTCTCACTACTGTGCTTTTATGGGCCTATGTGCAGCAGGTTGCTGGATTTGCACCATTTGGCACCCACATCTCTCCTATTAAAAAAAGATAAAAGACCAAAAATAAATGGGACTTTTAGGTTGCCCTCATCTATAAAGAAACATCCTCTATCATTAAAATTACTTCTGCTTTTATTTAAATGTATTTAAAAGTTAATCATTGGATCCATAAAATGCATAACATCCTGGCCACCTTTGGCCCATACATTATCACAGGACAATATATTTTTATAACAAATAAAATAGTTATTACACAGTTTGATGTCCTTGCCCACACCCTACAGCATTTTACTTATGTATACATACTGTAATTCTCATTAAGCAAAGTGTATTTTCCAAAGTCTTGCATGTTGGTGAAAGCAGGAAGATCAGTGGCAGATGTATGGTACATTTTGTGGGTGCCCCACTTCTTCAGGTGCAGTGAAACAATAAGGAAAACTCCCAACAGATGCTTGGGCAGACAGAGTTTGAATGCCATTCTTACATGACCCTTCCTGACTATTTGGTGCTCTCTTAAAGTGGAACTTCACTCTCCCCATCAGCATTGCCTATTTGTAATCCTTGTGCTGCTAGCATTAGTAAATAGATAGGAAATCATATTTACTTGTTTTACACTTTATATATATATATATATATATATATATATATATATATATATATATATATATATATATATATATATATGGGCCCTCCTAACCCTCTTGTATTGAACTGTATTGTTGCTGTATTGTATCCTGTTATATTGTTAAGTGCTGAGCAAACTGATGGCAATATAAATTCTGTATAATAATAATATATATATATTCAGTTACTTCCTGGTTTCCATGCCTAGGCAAATGATGTCATACATCCCAGGAGTCTTCAGGTGGGAGGAGGGTATTTTCAGCCAAGTACACCCTCCTTCCTATTTGTCTAAGCTAAGGGCAGTTGGATTCCAAGAAGTAAATGTTACATCTGCCCTTACCCAAGATGATCACGGCCAGAACATGCTAGAGGGTATTTTTCAAAGTGATTTCCCAGTAAAATAAAGCATGGAGACATGGATGGATGGGGGGAGTTTGCTTTTAATATTAAAAATGAATTAAATAGCATTTTTGGTTTGTGGTGCTCAGATGCAGCCAAGTTCCACTTTAAGTATCAAGCCCCTTGGTTAAATCTGCGGCTTTTCCTCTATTTTCCTCAGTCTGGTATGACAGAGTGCTCCATCTGAGGTGTGTGGGTTTTTTTTTTAATTACTATTACTCATATGTGATACTGTTGGAATTGTGCCTATTTTTTCACTGTACCTGAAGAAGTGGGGCACTTTTGAACCCACAAAACATGTCGTGTATCTGCCGCTGACCTCCCTACTTTCATCAACATACATGACTTTAGGAAATACTCTGCTTAAGCTGGACTCCAGGATAAGCAAATGTGTGAATCCAAGAGGCTTGTATATTCTTTCCTAAATCTTGGTGTGCTTTGTGTATTACTTCCAGATCTTTAAAGTAATCCAGTGTGAAACTTTGCCACTGTGTAGGAGCTTCTTGTGATCAAGACCAGTCACTGCTGCTCTCTCCTTGTGCAAAGTGACTGGTCTTGTAGTTTTCTCAGGCTGTCTGTGGTGGGTGGACCTGCTGATTCTCTGCACAGGTTGCATGAAGCACAGTGGTGACGTCACTGCTATTGCTTGATTTGGAAAAGTGTTTGCTGCACATAAAGTGAATTTATATTCACTGTGGCCATTGAGTTATATATTTGATGTAAGGTTTTTTGTGCCCATAGTATTTCAGCTTTAAATAACACAAACGTGAACTTGTCACCTTTTAATTCTAGTTCCAGCCTTGTGCTCTGAGCATTCCTGAACATTGCATAGGCAGTCTAGTAACACACCTATTTTGTCAGCCATCTGTTTAGAGGACAAATGAAAACTTTGTAATGACAAAATAAAGCTTATAGTTGTATATATTTCTATCATGATCTGTTTTTTTTTTTTTTTTTTTTTTACTAAATTTACTCTTTTAAATGGGCAATGTTGGCAATCTGGACATATTTGACTGAGTCTGGCTCTCTATATCCTTGGGCCTGTGATTACCTGTGTATAAAACAATAAACATATTTCCTTTGATTGCGTTTTCAGGTATGGCACAGGCCTTAGGTTCAGATACACCTTTTACAGCCATTGCTGGCAGTGAAATCTTTTCTTTGGAAATGAGCAAGACAGAGGCTTTGACACAGGCTTTCCGGAGGTCTATTGGTGTCAGAATAAAGTAAGTAGGCTATGTTCAATCTTCCTTTATTATAACTTGCTTGTGTTCTGGTTACATTGTAAATCAGTCTAATTTCACTGTTTTCATACTTAGTCCTTGGCACGTTACTTACACATAATTAAGCAGCATATTGCTAGGAAATATGTGATTTTTTAAAGAAAATTAAGAAATTTTTTTTTAAATTACAACCATGTCATACTTCCATGCTCTGCATAATGGTTTTGCACAGAGCAGCCTGGATCCTCCTCTTCTGGGGTCCCCCGCTGGCGCTCCTTACTCATGCCCCCATAGAAAGTTGCTTGCGATATATCCATTAGTGTGGGCTCACTTTTGAGCTGCGCTCTGTGTGTCCAATAACACATTTGACTTTAGGAGACCCTGTCAATAGAAAATGTTATTGCACTGCAATTTCAGTACCTTTCTAAAAGCAAGGCATATGTTGTCAAACTGCATGGTATCACGCCAGTGACTTTGCTGTTGGTGACACATTGCCAGTAGCAGTCATGTAGTAGAGTCTTCCACTTACTTCTATGGAATTGCTCCCTCTTTGGTCATGAATGCTGCTAAATCTCCTTCGCCATTGAGGAGACAGTAAGGGAGCAATATCTCACAGGCGCGCTAGTATGGAGTGATTATATAGAGACTGGTAAGCAACCTTTTAGCAGTCTTTACACTGATAGAGCTTTCTGCATGTGCAGAAACCAGAGGATTCTGGGAAAACTAGCTAGTCTGTATCCTATTGGTGTGCTGCAGAGAAGAGTAATGTAGTTATTTAATCTTGCATGCATGATTTAAATGGAAAGATGTAAAATAAAACTGGCTCGAATTATATCTTGCCATAAATGGATCATTTTATGCAGTTAACAAAACCGTACTTAATACAAACCCACACTTTTTTTTTTTTTTTTTTTTTTTTTTTTTTTTATAGAGAGGAAACAGAAATAATTGAAGGGGAGGTGGTGGAAGTTCAGATCGACAGACCTGCAACAGGAACAGTGAGTTGATCATCTTTCAAATTGTATTGTAGTCTTGGTAATTGAAAAATATTTATGTGAATCTAAACCCAAAGTCCTCGGCAGTTGCCTCCTATCCAGAGATGCAGTTGCAGGGGCAACAATGGGAGTTTGCAGACATTTTTGCCTTGTTTTCCTTGGGATTCAGCGTCTTATGCTAACTTAATTGGCTGTCTTGCAAATGATGTAATTCCTGCGCATGTGCACAGGAATGACTTCATCCTAGCACCCGAAGAATGCCGACATTGTACACTGGCTTGTGCATGCGCTGCTCAGTGTGCAATCTAAAGAAACTTGCTAGCAGCATTTACTGCAGAACATGCATACAGATTATCTTCTGAAATGAAATCTTTTATGCTATTATTTTTTCCATTTTAAATGGTATCATAAGTCTTTAGCTTGTTGGGATGAATAAATAAAAAGAAAAAAAAAAAATAACTGCTGGCCAGCTATTCTTTAATTTTCATGGTGAAAATTGTACTCCAGACTTCCTTCAGTACTGGCTACCTGTCAGAAAGTGTCTGGTCACCTGATTTTGCCAGAAGTAGAGGACCAGCAAGTTTGATCCTCTCCTGAAAAGCAGAATCATTCAGGTTGGCTGATCCTGCCATTGTGCAAAGATGCAACAGTGTGCTTGGTGTTTCAGATCTGTGGCTAGTACTGATATATTTAGCCAAAATTTGTTTCACTTATTAGTTTTGGATAGAATGCAGAAGGATTAGAACCCATTAATCAAACCCCCCCCCCCCCCTACCAAAAAAAAAAAGTGGACATACACTTGAAGGGAGTTAGTTGAAGAATGTGACTTGAAGGGAGATAGTTGAAGAAAGTGTGTTTCACAATACATAAATACATTTTTATTTCAGTTCTGATCACCTGCTTGTTATAAATGTGTAAATTACGGCTCTCAATTGGGTTTGCGTGTCTTACATTATATATCTATATTGTTTTAGCTCTATTTTGGCATATATTTGTGGAATTGTGTTGCATACATACTTTTTTACTTCTGTAAAATGAAAAGTTTTCTTAGTTGTGTATATTACTTCCATTTTCTCTATTTTTAAGGGAGCCAAAGTAGGTAAACTGACTTTGAAAACAACAGAGATGGAGACTATTTATGACCTGGGAACGAAGATGATAGAATCATTGACAAAAGAAAAGGTGCAGGCAGGGTAAGTTAAACCATGTTTCAAGTATACAAGAACTACAGGCACTTTGTGGCTAGTGTTATACCCGCTGTTTACCAAAACATGATGCAATAACGCAATTTTTTATTATGTTTTAGGGATGTGATAACCATCGATAAGGCTACTGGGAAGATCACAAAACTGGGCCGTGCATTCACCAGGGCTCGGGATTATGATGCCATGGGATCACAGGTATGAGAACAGTACCACTGGGCACTTATATTTTTTAGGAAAATATCAATCGAGTTAGTTTGTTTTTTTTTGTTTTTGTTTTTTTTGTTTCCCCTTTTTATATTATAGACGAAGTTTGTACAGTGTCCTGATGGGGAACTTCAGAAACGTAAAGAAGTGGTTCACACTGTGTCATTACATGAAATTGATGTCATTAACAGCCGGACACAGGGATTCCTTGCTCTGTTTTCTGGTATGTCACTCAAAATGGATTTGGGGGTTCATGTATGAAAAAGCATACTGTAAAGAAACTTTTTTTCTCTTTTTAGGTTACATAGGGAAATACAAGAAATACTTTAACCACTTGCCTACAGGGCACTTATACCCTCTTCCTGCCCATGCCAATTTTCTGCTTTTATTTTTTGCTAAACAAACCAAAAACAGCTAAAAATTTTGAAAAATAAAACGTTTTTCTTAATTTTTGTTATAAAATTTTGTAAATAAGTGATTTTTCTCCTTCACTGATGTGCGCTAATGAGGCTGCACTGATGAGGAGGCACTGGTAGGTGGCAGTGATGGACATTGACAGGCATCACTGATGGGCACTGAAATGTGGCATTGATGAGGCACTGAAATGTGGCATTGATGGGCACTGGCAGGTGGCATTGATGGGCACTGACAGCTTGCATTGATGGACACTGACAGGTGGCACTGCTGGGCTACACTGATCATCAGGGCCCTGATGATCAGTGTAGATGTCCCCTCTGAGGAACGCCCATTACTGGCTCTCCTCTCGAGCTGTCAGTGTGACAGCTCATAAGGAGCATTTCCCTATTTACATCTGATCAGCTGTGATTGGACACAGCTGATCACATGACCGAGCCGCCATCTTTGGCTCTTTCCGTTGACCGGTGATCCGCTGTGTCCCTCGGAACCGCACACACGCGGTTAGAATGGGAGGACGTCATGACATCCTCCCAGAGCGAGAGAACCGCCTTGCGCCTGTCATTTCCTTATATGGCGGGTGGGAGGCGGTTCAAGTTTGTTTTTGTTTGGGTTTTTTTTCCCTGTTAAAAATTTGCCTTCATTTCCCCTGTGGTAAAAGGCTGTCCTCGGGAAATGAGGGGACCCAGAGAGCAGCAAACCCTTGCAGACTGCCTATACTGTTGGAGCATAGTCTCATTGGGTTTTTTTTTTTCCTCCCCTACAAGACCTACATAAGTCATTTCTGCAGTCCAGATCTTACTACAAAAAAAAGGAATTCTGATAGTTTGCTCCAGGCAGCAAGAAATATTTCTGTTAACACGCTTTTTTCATCAGTCTCTTTAATGGTGATTTCAGAGAAAACATGCTGGTAACTTTTACTTTGTTAGACACCCACTCTGTGGTTTCATATAAATATAATAGAACCTCTCCCAGAATGTAATCCTGTTGCCGTTCTTTTAGTAGGCTTGTAACACAAGCATTATGTTCCCCCTATAGGAATTTATGGGAACACTTTTGCACAAGATTCATACATCTTTCATGTTTGTCTAACTGGGTTAGATTGGAAGTGTGTGTGTGTGTGTGTGTGTGTGTGTGTGTGTGTGTGTGTGTGTGTGTGTTGCACTTATATGAAATCTGACGCCACAGCTCTTGTAGCGAAAACAATTGTTTCTCTGGACTATCAGAGGGGAGGCATTTATTACTGTGGATACCACTTATTCACACTCTATTTATCATTGTACCTCGCAAATTACTTCAATAAATTCCCAAATTAATGTCTTGGCGTACAGGTGATACTGGTGAGATTAAATCAGAAATCCGGGAGCAAATCAATGCAAAGGTTGCAGAATGGCGAGAAGAAGGGAAAGCAGAGATCATCCCAGGGGTAAGTCAGCCATTCCAGCTCTGATTACCTGTGTAATGCCATCAGTAACCAAATCAGCACCAGCATGTTTGATCCCCTGTATTGCCAGGTTAGTTAAGTTTACTGTTTGTTATAGAATATAACAAAAATGCTAGGACAGTACAAAAAAACCCCAAATGACACATTTTTGTAAAGTAGAAACCCCAAAATTTAAAAAAAATGTTTCTTTGTTTTTTGTGAAGAAACGTGCTGGTATTGTGGGGGTTAAAACATGGAGCTTGGTAATGGTGCACAAAATGCATTAAATGTACAGGTCATACACAAGCAGGATCAGGAGGTGAACAGGTTAATGTACAGGTGGAGGATGGAGAGAGAGTTGATGTACAAATGTGCCGAATAAGGAAAGTGAGTGGTTAATATACAAGTCGGATCATAGACAGGACAGAGCTGACACACTGTAGAACAGTGGCTCTCAACCTGTGGGTCGCGACCCCTTTGGGGGTCGAACGACCATTTTCACAGGTGTCGCCTAAGACCATCGGAAAACACATATTTCCGATGGTCTTGGGAACCGAGACACCGCTCTTCTGTCTCAGGCGATGTGTGGGTGGGATGACATGCTGCCCCTGTCACCTGGCCACACCTCCCGGATCATTCAACAGCTCCACCTCCTCGCTGCTGATTGGCCACCGGAACTGTAGCTCAGGAGGAGGCACACAGGCGGCCAATCACCGGCGAGGAGCTTGAGCTTGGAGAGGAGGAGCCGAGCGGCAGCGCGCGTAGATCAAAGAAGATCGAGGGAGCTGCCGGAGTGAGTGAAGAGGAGAGCGGCCAGAGAAGGAAGACAGCTGACAGGTAAGTGCAAATTTTGCTGCTGCAGCCAGGTATGCTGGCTGTAGATGGGAGAGGGAAAGAGCGAGCCCAGGCTGGAGCAGGGGTCTGCAAGGTAAGTATCATTGGTGTCAGTGGGAGGAATAGTGCCCCATCATTTGTGTCACTAATACCGACGATGGGGCACTGTTCCTCCCCCCACAGACACCGACGATGGGGCACTGTTCCTCCCCCCACTGACACCGACGATGGGGCACTGTTCCTCCCCCCACTGACACCGACGATGGGGCACTGTTCCTCCCCCCACTGACACCGACGATGGGGCACTGTTCCTCCCCCCACTGACACCGACGATGGGGCACTGTTCCTCCCCCCACTGACACCGACGATGGGGCACTGTTCCTCCCCCCACTGACACCGACGATGGGGCACTGTTCCTCCCCCCACTGACACCGACGATGGGGCACTATTCCTCCCCCACTGACACCGACGATGGGGCACTGTTCCTCCCCCCACTGACACCGACGATGGGGCACTGTTCCTCCCCCCACTGACACCGACGATGGGGCACTGTTCCTCCCCCCCCCCACCCCGACACCGACGATGGGGCACTACCTCCTCCCCCCCCCCACTGACACCGACGATGGGGCACTGTTCCTCCCCCCCCACTGACACCGACGATGGGGCACTGTTCCTCCCCCCCCCCACTGACACCGACGATGGGGCACTGTTCCTCCCCCCCCCGATGGGGCACTGTTCCTCCCCCCACTGACACCGACGATGGGGCACTGTTCCTCCCCCCACTGACACCGACGATGGGGCACTGTTCCTCCCCCCACTGACACCGACGATGGGGCACTGTTCCTCCCCCCCCCCCCCCCCCCCCCCACCGACCCCGACGATGGGGCACTGTTCCTCCCCCCCCCCCCCCCCACCGACCCCGACGATGGGGCACTAGTCCTCCCCCCCCCCCCCCCCCACCGACACCGACGATGGGGCACTAGTCCTCCCCCCAAACCCCCCCACCGACACCGACGATGGGGCACTATTCCTACCCCCCCCCCCCCCACACCGACGATGGGGCCCTAGTTTCCCCCCCCCCCCCCCACCCCCACCGACACCGACGACGATGGGGCACTATTCCTCCCCCCCCCCCCCCCCCCCCCCCCACCAATACACCGACACCAGACATGAGGGGGCACTATTCCTGTACCCCATCTGCTGTAGAATGACAATAGAACAGTAAATCTTATTATTATTGACACCATTGCTGCATTGCACTGGTGGGCAACAGGCTTTGTTCCTTCTCACATTGATTGGTGAGGGCTTTCTGATCACCAGCCTGGAAGTGAGACATGACAGCCTTTGTTTACATTCTGTGATTGATAACAGTGATCATGAGGTACAGAACTACTTTAATTGGCTTTGTACATTTTTACCTGTGTTCTGCGTTGTCCAGTTAGTGTGATCACAGGACTAGTGCACAGTTCCTGTAAGACATAATGGTATGTCCTTCCAGAACAATAGGGGATCAGACCAATCATTTGTGTACAGTGGCTGTCCATTTAAAAACACAAAAAATGCACTAATGTCGGAGCAATTTTTGGTGGCTGATCCATGTATTCAAGTGTGATTAAATTGTAACCACAGAAATAAATTCCTTCCCCCAGTTAGTTTAGAAACCTTTTTTTTCCCCACAAGAGCTGTGATGTCAGATTTCATATAAGATCAACCTGATCTTAGATAGGAGTCTATTTAGAAGTGTTTTCACACACCCTTTTCTCACACAAATCACACATTTCCAATTAAACCCAATTAGGTACTGTTCATTGACGAGGTTCACATGTTGGATATCGAATGCTTTTCCTTCCTAAATCGAGCACTAGAAAGTGATATGGCTCCAGTTCTCATCATGGCTACAAACAGAGGTATTACTAGGTAAGATAAAAATTTTGTACTATTGTTTTTTTTCCTGTCTACCCAAACAAAATTCTAAATTAGCCTCAACAGTGAATTGATGTGAAATAAGTTAAAAACTATAACAAAAAGCAATACCTTTTTTATAGTCGATATAACACAAGGTAAGATATCGATGTACCTGACATCAGCTTGTACAGCTGTGGTTATGACAGATGAATATGATGGGAGGCCTGAGCTAGAGACTGCCCTCTGACTCAAGTGCTCACAAGTATGACCAGAATCCTATTCTCCCACAATATTTCACCTTGTAATTGGAGTGCCATAACCTGCAGTCTTCTATGGTAACGCTGTACAATGTACAATAAAAGTACATCAGAATATAGGATATACAGATGGTTAGCCCAGTTCTGAAAATGTTATAATGTATCATAGGTACTTACATTTTTATTTCATTTGTAGAATTCGTGGCACAAACTACCAAAGTCCTCATGGTATTCCCATTGATTTACTGGATCGATTACTCATTATCTCGACTTCGCCATACAATGAGAAAGAAACCAAACAGATCCTGAAGATCAGGTGAGGCTTGCGTTGAGGAATTTAGTTACTGAATTACCCTATTACTACTATAGTGTAACTTTACCCATATTCCATATAAAGTGTTACTATCATTTTAGGCCTGATTACACGAAACCACCTAGACATTATATTTCCCCTACCGTCTTTCAGGCCAGCACTCTGAGAGACCTCGGCTCCTCCCATCTGAGGAAAACACCTCCACCTACTATAAAAAAGCTCACTCCCCTCTGACATCAGTTCCAGGTGTTTTTTCCTCGGTGGGGAGACACGATGGAGGCGCAGGAAGACGATAGGGGAGCCGAGGGCCGGATAGCCCGGCTGTGGAGGCCCGACGCAGCCGCCGGGTAGTGACTGGCCGGAGTGCTTAATAAACGGCTGCATATCCTCCCAGGGCAGGCTGCCAGCAGTGAGAGTGCATCCCGGGGGCACGGGACAGGGCACTTACTGCTCTTCGCCCCCGACCCCCTCCGGCGAGGGGGGGCGTCGGGGTGGGCCCGTGGTTTGAGGTCTGGGGAGGATCGGGGGGAGAGTTCCGACTCTTCCCATGCGTGGCGTCCACTGAGGGCTTTGCCGGGGTTCCGGACGTCGGGAGACGGCGGTTTCCGGCGGAAGGGGCGGGGCTTCGACCAGGGCCGCGACTTCCGCTTCCGGTCGCGGGCTTCACACCCACGGCGGCGCGAAATTCAAAAATGGCGGTGCGGTGCACAGCGGGTCTGGGGGGGACAGACCTGCACCAGGCGACCACCCTCTGGTATCGGGATGTCTCGGAGGCACCGGGACCAGGAGATGCCAGCACCAGCCAGTCACAGGTAAGGTGCCTCAGTGGAGGCCTCCCCTACCTGTGGGCCACCTAGCAGAAGGTAGGGCAAGGGGTCTGCGGTTTTTTCAGGCCCTTGTTTGCTCTGCAGGGAAGCGGGGGGGGGGGGGGGTGTTTAGTGTCGGACTGATTGGGCTTCCTCTTCTCCCCCCTTTTCTTTAGTGTCTTTCAGGGCAAGGCCGAGCTAAACTTGGGCACCAGGAGCCCAAGCGGAGATTTCACTTCTGTAAGGAAGTTTTACAAGGAATCGTTGGCGAAAGGTTCTTTGTGGCCCATGTATACCGGGGGGTTTGGTGAGGGAGGCATCGAAGCCGGAACAGGGGGAACTAGCTAGGCTCAGTGGAATGGAGTTGGCTACCACCTTCTGACTCCTTCAAGTCCCCTCATGAGAGATGTTTGCCGCTCCCATTACCTACATTTCCCCCCCCCACCCCCCCCCCCAGGTGGCTTCGGTTGGAGTCGTCGGGAACCCCGTTTATGACCGGGGAGGAAACCAGTGGGGGTACTCCCAAGTCTGAGGCGGAATCAGCGGCGTGTGAGGGGGTCCCTCGGAGGAGGGGCGGGGCCACCTCCCGGTATAAAGTTGACCCTAGAGGAGGTTGATGAGTCCCTGGGGGCTTAATAATACGAAACCCTGGACATTAAGGAGGAGGTTTCAGGCCTTTATCTATCTCACGCACCAAAATGTATAGGTAATGTGGAGGGAGGCCCCAAGCACAGAATGTTCCTTGTTCATAACATTTTGTGGTAAAGACACGATTAAGGAGGAGTGGCAAGTACCCGGAAGGAGGGAAACCGTCTCTTCACAAAAGCAGTGAGAAGGAGGTTTCCGTTTTCGGAAGACCCCGACGGCCGGTCCTGGAAACAAGGAGCCCCCAGGCTTAGACGCGGCCTTTTCCCAAACGACCCAGGGAGAATCTGACCTAGCGTTTGAGGACAGGGTGGTTCTTACCAGACATATTGGTACAGAAGTGGCGTGAGTCCTCTCCTTAGGGGGGGGGGGGGGAAAGGCCTGGGACTCGAACCTGTACAACCTGAAGCGGCCATGGCTACGACAGTGGTAAGCCAGGAACTTAGAGTATTGGCTTACCGCATTTACAGGCCCCCATATTGTTGGCAGACTAAATAACAAAATTATATATCCACCTGCGCTCCTACAGACTCTTATATATAGCTAGCTGCTATCATCTAACACACCTATTACGCATGGGACACCATAAATTTAAATATCAAGATATTGGGGATGAAGCGCTCCTGCTGGATAATAATGCCTAATAAAACAAATTTTTTTATACTACAAAGTGTGGCAGACTCTTCCCAAGGAAAAATCGTTGGCCTCTTTTTGAGGCCCTTTTGCAAGGAGTGGGGTCTAATGCGGATTTGCTTCCGCAGGATTCGGTTACGATTGGGGCCGGGGTCTGCTTCGCCCTGACCAATTCTAGGCCAGAAGGGCGCTGAGGCTAAAGACTCATGGCAGTGGGGGCATCACTTCAAAAGTTATGGTTTATGCGGCATCCCCCTCACAGGAGACCTGTCTGTTCGGCCGCGGGTTGGAGGTAATTAATTGGACCGGACAGCTGATAGCGGAAACAATAAAAAAAAGTCCATCCCCCTCAAGAGGAAAATATGCAGGAGGGTCGGGGAAATTGGGAAGGCCCGCCCGGCCAAAGAGGTCTGAGCCTGCGGGACCGGCATGTGTCAAGGGCTAGGTAGTCGATTGGACCAGTGAGGTAGGGGATGAGGGGGAGCGAGTTTTTCGCCCGCCCTCCTGAGCAGCCCCAATAAAACCCAATGGTGACCTTGGTTCCTCCTGTGGGGGGATGATTGGCGGCATTACCTCCCACAGTGGTAAGCCGTGGTCACCAGCCCCTTCATTTTGGATGTTTATTCGAAGGTGTTACCGCGTTTAGGAATTTCTGAGGACTCGCCACCCGAGACTTTTCTCGGTGACGAGTCCCGTCCAAGGGATCGGACGAAGGACTCGGCCTTTGGGTTGGGCGCCTTAGGAGATTCTAGAGTCCCAGGGGGTCATCTCCAGGGTTTTTCACAGTAGCGGAGTCGGATGGGGAAGGCAGTTTATTACCATGTTGTTTTTGTGTTCAAAAGCCGTCTTGGGCGTTCAGACTGATTTTTGAAACCCTGAAACCCTTGAACAAGTCAGTGCGTTACCGGATGGTCTCCGCTATATGGACTCCATTTTTATACAATCAGTTCCCCTAATCCCACCATGTGCATTCACTTGCATCCAAATAGACTTGAATGAGGCTACCTACACCGATTGCCCGTTGGCGGGGGAAAGCCTCTCTCAGAGGTTTCCTCAGGTTGGCAGTGGGGTGGGCGGAACGGAATTCGACCACTGACAGTTCAGGGCTCTTCCATTCGAGTCTTTCACCTCCTCGCCACGAGAATATCACCTAGGTTCTGGTCCGAAGGCACTGATTTCTATCCGTCTTAAGGGGGATTTCAGTGGGCTGGCCTATCTGGGACGATTTGCTGCTCTTTCGCGAGGATTCAGGAGGCTTCACTTAACGGCAAGACTGGTTATAGTGAGGAACCATCTGGCAAGCTTGGTGCTGGATTTTGAATCTGGGAGAAGTCTCTTGACATGGTTGGCCTTTCTCCAGAAGGTGATTTACTTAGGTCTACACTCTAGACTCGGATTTGACCAAAAGAGACCAGCCCTACTTTGGAAAAAGTCACAAGTAGGAGGCCGGAGTCAGATTACTGCACGGGGAGCAGGTCGATGTCCATTAAGGAACAGGCCATGTCGGTACTTCTGATTGCTGACTAAGCGTCCATTCCGCGCCGGTATCAGTGGGCAGGTACTGCATATCGCGTCCCCTCCAGTGTGTGGATCCTGAGGGTTTTGGGTACAGGAAGTGTCACTCCCCTAGAACGCTAGGGTCTTGTGTTTCCCCCCAGTGTGAAAAAGGCTCAATGTTGGAGGAGGGAGATCGTTCCAGCATAACTTCCGGGCTCTGTTGTGGTGCATTGCGACTTTCCGTCGGAGTGGTCACTACGGAAGCCAGCGCCAGGGGCTGTGGAGCCCACCTTGGGAAATTTGGTGTCTCGACGAGGAATGGTCCTTCGAGGGCAGAAGGGCAAATCCTCTGAATTGGAAGGAATTGATGGCAGTAGTGGGAGGCTCTGCAACTCACGTCAAGGCAGGGGGTCACGGGCCAGTCACGAGTGCGTGTTCCTGACGGACAAATGCCACGGCCAGTGGCTTATATTAAACAAAGTCAGGTGAGGGACGCGGAGGCAAGGCCCTCGGGGCCTTACGCGGCGACACTATGTTGTCCTGGTCAGCGCTGTAATTTGGCGTCCCCTGTCTGCGATCACTTTAAAGGGGGAGCTGAACCAGAAGGCAGACATTACCTGAGGCTAGAGCACTCGGTCTCAGGGAGTCGGAATGGGCCTTGAAAACCCCTGATGTCTTTCAGGAAGATTGTGCGAAGGTGGGGATCCCCGGATGTGGAACCCTTATTGCCATCCGGAAGGAACAACAAGGTCTCAAATTTCTTTCTCTTTCATCCCGCTGGGACGGGTCCCAGAGCGGTGGACGCATTAGGTCAGATGGTGGGACTACCGGGCTTTGTTACGCCTTTCCCACCTATTCCTTTGCACCCCCTGGTCCTCGAGGAAATTCAGGACAGAGGGGACCTCGTTAATCCTGATAGCTCCCTTCTGGCCGCGGGCGGGCCGTGGTTTGCGACCCTAAAGAAGTTTGGCACTCTCGTCCACGCCCTTGGAGGCTGCCACCAAGAGAGTATTTGTTAAACAGATGGGCACGGTTCTTTGGCCCCAGCTTAGGGCAGTTTGTTTTTACGGTTAAACGGCCTGGTTTCTGAGTCAGCAGCTCCTCTTAGAGAAGGGGTTCTCGCCTATGGTGGTTGGCAGACATTATTGCGCCAGTAGGAAGGAGGAGACCCAGGCAATTTATGGTCAGGGCTGGGGTTGCTTTACAGCCTGGTGCGACCGGACAGCCAGTGGCTAACCCATAGTTTGTTTTTCTGTGTTGGAATTCCCTGCAGGCGGGAGCGGACCAAGTGGGATTGTCTGTCCGCACGCTTCAAGGGCCAGGTCTCGGCCCTCAGTGGTGTTCTTTGGAGGACGCCCCTGGCCATGGAGGAGGGTTGGTGAGGTAAGGTTTTTTCAAAGCTCTGAGTGATGGCAGAGTGCCTCCGCGGTCCAGGAACCATGTCCTGTGGTGGGATCTTGGCCAAAGGTGCTTCGGTGGGGAAGACTAGGGCTCCCGTTTCGAGCCCTTGGTAGTTCCCTGTCCGATAGGTTGAGCTCACCATTAAAACGGCTTTTCTAGGTGGCGATTACCACGGCGAAGGGAGGGTGTGGTGCTGAGGATGGAGGCCCTCTCGATACAGAACACCTTATCTCCGTATTTTTTGCAGACAGGATCGTTTTCAGGACCATACCCGTCCTTCATTCCGAAGGTAGCTCGTAGTTTTCCAGAGGGAACAAGGACATGTCCCCTTCCCTCGATTTCCCTTGACCCGGTGGGGGTTAGATTCAGGAGAGGTATCATATGTTTAGATTGTCAGAAGGTTGCGTTCTCCATTATCTAGAGAACTCTAGGGAGTATCAGGAGCCAGCACCGAATTCCCTTTTTGTTTGTTTTTTTTTTCTTAAGGGGCTAGAGAGAGCGCAGGAAAGGCTTCTAGAAGGGACGCTGAGCCAGCTGGCTGCGGCTGGCGATTACAGGAGCGTATCAGGCAGAGGGCCTGGATGTCCCGGAGGGGTATCAAGGCATATTCCACCCTAGCTGTTGGACGGCTAACCCAGGCAGTGTTAGCAGGGGTTTTCCCCCAGGGCAGTATTTTGCAGAGCGGCAACATTGGTCCCAGCTATGACACAATTTAGCCAAGCATTACAGACTGGACCCTGGGTCTCGGTTGCAGGAGCAGGAACTTTGGTCAAAAGGTCTTGAGCTTACAAGCAGTTTAGCTCCGATCATAAGGGTGAGTACTCGCTTATCCTCTCAGAGTGCCTTGGCCTGTAAAAAAGACTTGAAGTAGGGGAAAACCTAAAGTTACACTTACGGTAACGTCTTTTCCAGGAGTCCATCCAGGCTCTAGCACCGCTTTCCCCACCCACTGTTAGATATTTGTTTATGTGAAGATGGCTTATTATGATTTGTTGTCTCCGCATTTGTGTCTCCAGATAAGACGGAGGATGCCTTGGAGAACTGAGGTCAGAGGGAGTTGGAGCTTTTTTATTGTAGGTGGAGTTGTTTCCTTCCGATATGGAGGAGGAAGCTCCTAGGTCTCTCAGGAGTGACTGGCATGAAAGACTCCTGGAAAAAAGACGTTACCTGTAAGTGTTACTTGGTTTTTCTGATCTGAAAGCAGACACCCCTAAAGAAAAATGTAAGTAATAAGTTCCAATTTTTATGTCACACAATATTGGCCGCAAAGGTCTAAGAAATGCAAAATTGCAGTAAAAAGCACTATAAAGTGAATTTTAGTACAAACAAATACAATAAATACCCAAAGTTTAGGTCAAATATAAAAGATGAGGTTTGCACGAGAAATTGATACCCTTGTAACCAAAGTTGTGTGCACCTTTGAAAGGGAACAAACTTCATACCTTTTTTTTTTATGGGCGAGCTTCAAAACCCATCGGGTCTCAATTTAGTGTACGGGGACGTTTTTTCTAGAATTATTGCCCCCACTCTGGGGGTGGCTGCAATATGTAAGTGTACCAAACTCTGTTTTTCCTTTTTTGGGTGCCCCTAATTTCCCCTTCTGATAATAAATGGGGGGGGGTTTTCTTGGTGTAACTTCTTCTGCAATTGAAAATTTCTTTTTAATTTTTTTTTTTATTAATAAGGGACAAAAAATCTCCTATGGTTTTTGGGTTTTTAGGTGAAGGGTTTCTTATTGGACATGCTGCAACTATAAGACCCTGCATGTCTCCTTTTTGACTTAGCACGCCAAGCAGCTAAATTTCCGTTTTTTGTAGGGAATTGTGTACAGACAAATGCGCAATGCATCAAACGTTTTGTATTCCAATGGGCCCGGGTTAAAAAAGAAAAGCATTTTTGAACAAAGCCGTGTACACAACTGTAACCTTCAGGACAGAACACAAAAAATGAATTGTGCCCACAAATAATAAAAGGGAACCCCTTCCCATACAGGAAGTCCCCTAAAGATACAAAAAAAAAACACAAAGCAGTCCATTGCATTACAAGTTCTAGCTTTTAACAATCCTTAGGAATCCAAAAAAAATTCATATTCCTAAAAGGTCGCGGGCATGCAAAAAATGGGAACCCCGCAGCTATTGATATTATCCGGGGAGATCAGGGGAAACTCCAATAATAAGAAAAACGTGCATACCCCCTTGCATAGTCCATTTTTTTTTTTTTCAAAAAAAACAAAACAGGCACACTTACCCTAAAACCTTTTCCTCACACGGGGATTACATGTGACATCATACTTTAAATGTGTGCGATGACCAGAATTTTAGATGTTTTTGTGTTATGTTTTGTTTTTAATAAACAGAAATTTTCTATGCTTA